AACCGCCCTTTATTTTTCCGGTTAACTGGTACGAACTCGCTGTAACATTTGCGAAAAAAAAACGAAGAGAAATTCAGGCGGAACGCGGCGTTTATCAAAATGATGAAGTGGGCGGGAGGGTTGCTATAACTTACCGGCGGGCAACGTACGTACGATCGAACGTCACGTTTGCCGTCGACGTCACCGCGCCCGAATGTCGTAAATCGCCGGCATCGCGATCCATTCATGAAGATCTCGAAATCTACGCGATATCTTGCGAACCGATGACATCAGAAGATAGATAAAGAGCTCAACTGAAAATATCTTTGTTTATCCGAATAGTGGGGTCCGTTATTTTCGCTCGCGTTAGTTTATATGCTTTAGAAATTCTATGCGTCTGCTCGTTATTATAGTCGATTGTATTTCATAAACTGCTGAACGGCACTTCTGCGGCGAAGTGTCGATCTTTTTTTTCCCTCTTTTCCCGTTCGAGAGATTTTCCTGTTCGACACGAATCGACGCCGTCGACGCCGCCGAACAACTTTCATTCGTTCGATTTCATTTTCGCAAGCGTAATTTCTGAGAACGAAAAAACGTTCCTCGATAATGTTTCAACAAGAAAACAGATCCTTTTCACACGATTCCGTGAGATGATCACCAACGTTCCGTGCTCGGTATTACAAACGATTCTGCTTTCTCTCAATCAGGGGAAATCCATTTTCCGCTTGTATGACTAATATCCTGTTCGCGCGCGCACGCAGTTCCCACCGTAAACACTATAATCACGACAAATACGCCTGATGCTGTTTTCTAAGTGAAACAAAACTGCTTTCATATTTCGGGCTCACTTCGTTGTAACCATTTCGTGTGTCATCGATCAAATTGAACAACTATTTTTATTTTGTCTGCTCGGGCTTCCGCGCGGAGGTTTCGCAAGTCGAGTTGCACTCGGCCTACTTTTTCAAAACGCGGAAACCTTTGCGAAATGATTCCTTGCCGTACGATATTTTGCACGATATCGTGAACACGATATTGTTCGCTGTTCAAATACTATGTCAGTGGAAGGACACAATTTTGCGTCGACTTAACCAGTTAGCTGTGTTTGACGATTATACTAGTCACGGAGATGTGACGGTATTTTGTGTCGTAACGAGTATACTCGTCGCGCGTAAAAAGTAGCGACCATTGGCTATTTAAATTGTAATGTTAGCGATAACAGAAACACATTCTCAAATTTCAAGATGTTTAAAATATTTTTAGGCCAATTCTACACGAAGATGATTACATTATTATAAAAATAAGATTAAATATTAGTGTTCGACGCGTAAAGTGCCATTATGCATCGTTCCTTGCTTTACCGAATACCACTCTACAGCAGCAATTTGAATGTTCAACTTTTATAATTATTTGATTTCTCCCGCGTTTTTCGTTTATTATTTATATAGCATATGCCAATGTTAAACGAATAAGTAAATATTAGTAATAAAATTGTTAATTTTATCAAATAAAACCGTATTTTTGATCCGTTATTTTAACAGCGTCACTTACTCTGTGTTCGACGAGTATACTCGTCATCGCTCGATTCTCGCGACACATATAGGTGCTCGTTCTGAAAAGGAGGCGCCACAGCTAACTGGTTAAAGGAATGACTTAAACGATGAAAACTAGAATCTGGAAAGAGTTATACTTCATTCGGAGTCTGTTACACTATTACCATCGATGAATTTAATTGCAAAAGACTCGCAGCCAATCGACGTTACGTATCGCTTCTCTTTGCGACAAGCATCCGATGAATCAATTCCGGGAGCAACCATAACTCGAAAGCAAATCCCCATGCTGCTGCTATCATTCCTGAAGTTACGATCGGATCTCACGCTACGTTCTAGACACATCTCGGAGCAGTATTTCCCTCAGACTCGGAGCTCGTCGGACGACTAGATTCATAGACACGTAGGAGTTCGATTAACGAAAAAGCTCCGGCCGTTACTGGTTCCCTTGGGATCCTAAATTCGACGGTGCACGAAAACCAGATCCGACTTATAGTTCCGCGATAGCATGCGACACGGAGGGATCGCCGCGATGCGATGTATGTATCGAGCAAGGTCGGATTGCATAAAAATGTCAGTCGGCAGATTCCGTGCGCATCGGTAGAGACCGATCATTCCCCGGGTACACCTAAGGCCAGGAATATCCTCGTAGCCGCCCCCGCTGTGCCAGAATCAAGGGGACACTATGCTAATCTCGAGTGCACTGGCCAAACCACCAACTCATCCCAGAAATATGGCCGAACATTATTATTAGATTACATTTTCCTCGCCAGTCTGGAGTCTTGTATTACAAATGACGACTGTTCGAATAGTTTGTTCCTTCGTTTCTGAAATTCCCTGTCCGAGTTGGATGGGAACATTAGGCTGATGGGGAACGAGCTAGCGAACCACTTTGTATACGCGCACAGTGTCGTAACTAGGCTACCAATATTTTGCGAATTCGCGCTTATGTAAACCGTGTTCGGAGAGATAAAGAAAGCGAGCAAAATAAAGCGGTGACTATGATCGCGCGGAGAATTGTTTATGCGTCGAAAAGAAAGCACAGCGTTGCGTACAGAGTGCGGTTCATTCGAGGTGGACGTCTACGCGAAGGATCTTCAGCGGTTCGAAATTATTGAAAGAGAAAATGTGTTTTAGCTCGTTGAAGATTTAGCTATTGTTTCGAGATACAGTGATGTCTCTCTAATTGACGCTCAGATTGTCCACAAAAGTGGTGAATTTTGGAAGACGAGATGCGATTATTCGAGCTATGAGGTTCGTTCTCATAGTTACGAATTGTCAAGAAATATAAAAACGAGCTGCAAGGCTCGAATAATCGTAGCTCCTCTTCCCAAATTGTCCATTTTCGTGCGCAATCTGAGCGTCAGTTAGGGAGACATTACTGTAATCGTAAGGACTTGTAGCGACTGTTCATTGAACGCTTCTACTTAACAGTTGCTGACAGTTATTTCTGGATCGGTCCGAGCCCCTGTTTGCGAACCAATAAAAAATGACCACCTTGAATATATTCGCAACTAGAAAAGTTCCAGAAAAATTTGTCGTGTAAGGCTTGCGTGGAAAAAAAGGGTGATCATGGTGTAGTGGTAGCTATTTTTTTTACAAGAGGAATCGTCTCGGAAATTGAAGGTCATCTTTGTTTTTTTTTCTTTTTAAAGAGAACGATGTATTTTTATAATAGTAGCTTATTAGCGACTTTGGGGAAAAATACGATGACCTATGGTGCAAAATCATTCAAGGTCACGTATAAAAAAAAAATTCCTTTGTAAATATTTACTTGACCGCTGTCGGCGTAAAGCCAAAGGCGCGCTGATTAGCGCAAGAATGAAATTTTAAATCTGTACAGACAATTGCATCATTCGTTAAACCATTTCGTTTGTGATACAATAACCGTAAAGAAAAACAATTAATAATCTTTATGCTTTGACCTGGCTATTTTTATTGGCTTTACAGCTTTATCAACAAATAATATTGCTGAAGATACAATAGAAAGAAGCAAATAACAAGAGATACGAAACAACGTGCATATGCAGATTACGTCGACTACGCTATAAAACGGACCAATAAAAATTACCATTCCTTATTGGTTTCATAATTATTAACTGGTACCACAATAACTGTCTTACATGACCACGATTATGGTTAAACCACAGCGAAGCGTGTACTAGTGTACTATAATTTTTTTGATAAAGAATTTCTAAAAGAGCCAACTTTATAGCATTACAATGACGACGATTCGCAATTTCGCTAGTTTCAGAGACCGTGACACCATTCGCAAATTGAATGGAGGCCGCTCCATTGGTTCTCTTTGCTTGCTAAACAACACAATCTATTAATCCGTTGCTTTAAATTCGACGCCAGATGCTACAAGAGGAGGAAATCGCCGAAGAGACCGCCAGAGAGATACGACGGCACGATAAGATCAATCGCGGTGCTCTTGACTCGGCTCGAGATCATTGGCTTCCTCCCTTTTGTTTTTGCTGCTCCCGGTTCGTTAATCGATCCACTGACTAGCTCCTCCTCGTTGCATCGCGTCCCGTGAATGCGTGATTATGATTCAACAGCGAGTGAAACGCTTAAAAATCCCGCACAATTAATTGAAACGAAAAGAGATTTATGAATTCAAATTGTACTTGTGCTCGCGATCTTGAACATTGATGGACGATCATTTCAGGCTCTGTGATTTATTTGCCATTGGTCATTAGTCACTATCCGAGGATAGATTTTTGAATCGCAGCAAAAGTTCTACAGCAGGAAAATATAGCGCGTCAATTTAGATGCTAAAAGATTCGTAAAATAATTAGAAAACGGCCGATCTTTATGCAAGACGAAATGCATCAATTGAAAAGAATCCAAAGAATTGTTCATTTAAACTATTTTTATTCGCGAGATCATCGAAATGTGTTGATGCAGATGATCTCGAAGAACGTTCGAGGTACAGTAATGTCTCTCTAATTGACGCTCGGATTGTGCAGAAAAATCGACAATTTGGGAAGAGAAGAGTCTCGGGGCTCGTTTTTATAATTGTTGACAGTCGGTAACCATAAAAAACCAGAGCCACAAGACCCAAATTAATCGTATCTCCTCTTCCCAAATTGTCCATTTTTGTGGAGAATCTGAGCGTCAATTAGAGAGACATTACTGTAATGACATTTCATTTTTTCTATAGGTCTATTCAATGCTTCGAAGATCGCCTTGATCACGATTCTTTGAAAAGACATGGAATAAAGTAAAATGTTATCACCATAAATGTCCTCCAAAATTGTATCACGCGTGATAAGAAGAATGTCGATCGATCGGTTAATAATAACGAGGACGATCGAGATGGTCACGTTGCGTGGACCTTTAATTAAATAAATTCTCCAAGTCCTACGCCATCTTATTTCGTCCACCGAGTCTCTCTGCTCGACGTTCCTTCCTTTCGATCTCGACGTTTCTGTATCGAACTAATGTAATATTCAGCTTAATGGTACTCACGTTTCGATGCGCCGGCGCTCGGGCCACCCTCTCCGAAGAACCTCGAAGTAGTTCCGCCAATAGTTCGGGACTTGGTCCCGGAAGTCCTTCGAGTTTGCTCGGGCTGGAGGTCGTCCTGTGATGGCAAGGTGTTGGCGGCTCGGAGCCGCTGTTATTCGAGCTGGTGTTGTACGAAAGATTCGCGGAAACTTTCCTACGTGGACGAAGACCTTCCTCGAGGGCGATGTCGGTGGCTCGTGGCTTCGCCATTTCGGCCTCGAGCATTTGCCCGTAGGGACCCCGCAGAGGCCTCTTACTATATCTGAATAAACAAGCATAATGCCGTGGCTTACTTGCACCGCTCCATCCGCTTCCATTTTATGCTAATTTTACCGAAATTCCTACTTTATTAACCCTTCGAGGACGAATGTCGACATGCCGACCACTCTACGAACTATACGCCTTATTGCAGAAGTTGTAATTCGATGATGCAGATAAGAAAGGATCAAGTTACATTATTCATTTTTCTAATTATCTTAGTTTTTTAATACATAGTCTAGATGCCCGAGGAAACTATTATTAGCACTTTAAAAAATCGTCGTCTGGAAAGGATTAACGCTGCAACGGCGCAGCGAAGGTATTTTGTGTTAAATAACCGAACAGTAAACATCAATTCGACGAATCTGACAAGTAAGCAGTCTAAACGTTGCAAAATTAAATTTTCTGGCAAATATCAAATTTCCGTTTCATCCGTCTTTCCGCGCGCCATTTTATTTTGACATTTATAAAGTGCTCGTACGAACGCCTACATTTCAGCTGCACACAATTATTGCAACTTTGAAAACAGTACACTATACATTCCGCTTTCTACACGATGACGAAGTACACTGGAATAAATGAAGCGAGGCGATCGATGACGTACGAAACGTTACAATCGTTTTCTCGTTTCCAGAAAGGAACTTTTTCTTCAATCTGATTCCGATGAGCGACGGCAGGAGCTCCTAACGATCTCCAAGAATCGTCTTATAAATTCGCAGGGGCTTACGGACCAACTCAATAGACTCGATACTAATGCACCGACTCGAGTAGGTTGCGCCGAACGCTGGGCAAACGGCGTCAACGCGAAAGGGGTTGAAACGAATGAAATACCGATCCCGGGACGTCTGCGTGGCATTTGATTTCCCGGTATGCGAATAGACGCGATGGAAATGGCAGCTCGAGAAGGGGAAGGAGACGAAAAAGGCAATGCTAGGCAAACAGCCGGCCGCTTCTGCCGCGTTGCTCTCCTCTTAAATCGTATCCGTAGGCAGACACTTCGGGTCCATTTGCATTCTATTCCGATATATTAGCGGTGGTTCTCGTGTTACCTTCTAGGCGTGTGGCCCTCGCAGTCGGAGAGGTCACTGGGCGTCGCAGGTGGCTCGTCTCGTTCTTCGCTGCTCTGAGCTGACAGCTTGTTCCTGTCGGTGTCCAAGGGCTCCGGCCATTGGGTTATGTACACGCCCTTTCTCCTTTTGCTGGTGTCCCCCCGGTACCTTCTCGTTTTACCCGACGGCGAGGACGTCTCCGAGGGTGCCTCGCTGGCCGCCTCGCTACCCTCGCTCGCTTGGCTCAGCCTAGGCTCCTCCGGCGGCGGCGTTATTATCACTTCGTGCGGCTCTATCCTATTTTCTGGGAGAAGCCACATCGATTTAACCCTCGGATAATCAACGGTTCTCGCCGCTTTCGAATTAGTAGATTGCGGATTTTATGCATTGCGACAGAAATAACTAGATATCGATTAAAACAGTGAATGGGTTCAAAGAGACTAAAAACTGTGAACTTCTTGAAATCGTTATAGAAAGAAGAAATCTGGTGTTTGACTCCCATGTCTTGCAATTGACGGAGAACAATTTTTTCCTTGCGTGAAGATCCGCTGTCTAGTATTTACAGTAATGTCCCCTTACTGACGCTCAGATTGTCCACAAAAAAGGACAATTTGGGAAGAGACGATACGATTGTTCGAGCCTTGCAGCTCGTTTTTATAGTTACCAATTGCCAGTAAATATAAAAACGAGCCAAAATGTTCGAATAATCGTATCTTCTCTACCTAAATTGTCCATTTCTGTAGACAATCTGAGCGTCGATTAGAGAGACATTACTGTAATTAGCGATACTCGGGGACATTTAGACCAGCGACGGGCGAAATAGCGTAATACGGTAGAAACTCGGTTTATTAATTAAATAATTAACAGAGTATGAATGTTCGGCTATAGGAACAAGCACGCCGACGAGCAGTATTCGTCATAGTTAAACAGATCCTCGAGAGCAAGGGAATTTATTGTGATTAGCGAACTTCGGCCACGAGTAAACGGGCGTGAAGTCATCAATGAGGATGGCTATAGTCCGAAATTTCTATTTCGTTTGCTGGTAGCCATCGTTCTGAAAATAGAGCCGCGCGAAATAAAATGGAACCCCGGTTGCACCTTTCTAATCGTATTTCTGTCGAACTACCAAAAATAATACTTCGTTCGTCATGGTGGACAAGCAGCAACATTTGGCTGCACATCCGATTTTACAGTGACACATCATTTCGAGAGTATATGATCGATCGGTGACATCTGATCCTCGATATCGGTGATTCGCCGGCGTATTCGCCTTGGAAACTTGCGAACGAAAGCGTGCAATTTATAATTTAAATTGTAATGTTGCGGTCGAATGTGGTTCAAGGGATAGAACGTCAAGAGTATCAAAATGAGCGAAAACACACGGAACAAGGTGCGAATCTGGCACGAATAACGTCATTAAATTAACATTACAAGCCCCGAGGATGTCAAAATTAATAATACTATGTTGCCAATTTCTACCGACGAAATCGGTCGAATAATAATAAGCTGTCAGGTTACACCGAAAGCAATTTACAAGTTCAGCCGTATACCAAGTGTTGAAAGTCGTCTCGTTGCATCAACGCCTGTACATTGTAATACATTTCGCATCTCACGAGTCACGAAATGACATTTACAAATAAAGGAACAGTGTAAGTCATGAAATCTCGTTCCCACAAGTGTCTGCAAGAGAAATACTGCTGAGAAAAGTTAACGCTATTTTGCATTAATTGCTTTCTTGACAGTATAATCTGGTGGCTTTATCGGGGCTCTCGCGATTCACACGGTGGAGCTTCCGAGTGTTGAATGTCAACGATTAAGAAAGAGATTTCGAGTAATCCTTCTTAATCCTCAACGATCGGATCTAGGCGTCTCGGACTGACAAGTGACACGAGGAGCAGACACTTTGAGTATTTAAAACCGGGGATGTGCCTACCAGAAACCCACTAATCACGGTTCTACAGGCGAGAGATTATTTCCTTGTCAAAGATCTCGATCACCGAGCAAAATTATACTAAATTGTTGTAATCTCATATTCGTATAATATTCGTATAACATTCTTCCTTGAAGATGTTTAATAAGCGATGCAAGATTTTTCTGCTGTTTTATGGGGTTAAAACGCGTATGAAGTTTTAAATCGAAGATACTTCGACGAGATGATATCCGTCGAATTATGCTGTTTTCGTTTCTGCGGATGTAAAAATGTTGCGCTGATCGACAGAAAAGACTGATAAGATTGTTCGAGAATGACGAGGTGAATCGAAGATTGGCGAGGCTCACCTTTTTGCACGGTTTCTTCGATCGCCGAGTTCTCGACGAGCGGGAAGACGGGCTCGGACGTGACGATCTCGATCGGAAGACCGTCCGGTTGCACCAGGTCGACTCTGGGCTCGTGGATTTCGGGCACCGGTGGTTCCGGGCTGGTGAGGGCACTGGAGGTCGCCAGACTGTCGGAGCCATCGCTCCTCGGTCGGATCTCTTCGTGATTTCCGGTCTGCGGTACACCCAAGCCTTCCGCGGAACCGACGGCGCTGTCGACGCTGGGCGTCGATGTTCGTGGACTTTGACGGTTCGGGCTGTTCTGCGGCGTCGAGACGACTGGACTGACATCCCCTCGGCGCCGTGGCAGCGTGCTCGCACGGACGTCCTTGTTTTCGGTGCGGTTCGATGTGGCTATCGGCTGAGCCTTCGTTCGGTTCACTGGAAAATTCAATGACCACTCATTTTTTTCTTTAATTCGGGCTACAAGTTAAACTTACTCGGACTTTGATAAAAATTTACCAAATTCCTGTCAAATATACAGGGTTATGTCAAGGTTATGTTAACACTTGGAAAGGGGTGATACCTGAGGTGATTTGAAGTAACTTTTTCCTTAGCGAAAATGCAATCCGCGGCTTTGTTTACGAGTTATTAACGAAAAACACTGACCAATGAGAGGCGAGATATGCTGACGCAAAGCGGCCGAGTCAACTAGCGGACAAGCCTATTGGCTCAGCCGCCTCGCGCCAGAATATCTCGCCTCTCATTGGTCACTGTTTTTCGTTGATAACTTGTAAACGAAGCTGCGGATTGCATTTTCGCTAAGGAAAAGATTACTTCAAATGGCTTCAGGAATCACGCCCTTCCGGGTGTTAACATAATTATGGAACACCCTGTATAATTGGACGTTACAAGTTATTTGCAGTTATAATTATTGTCGGATATATTATCCAAGATTATAAGGTGTATATGTATCGTAAAAGGTTCAAGCATCTCTTATTTATTATTATTATCGTGGGCTCATAAAAGACTCGAGGATATCATTAAAGGATGAAGACTACTCTTGACGGAATATATTCGATGAAAGTAATGAGTATGATTGCNGCGGTACACCCAAGCCTTCCGCGGAACCGACGGCGCTGTCGACGCTGGGCGTCGATGTTCGTGGACTTTGACGGTTCGGGCTGTTCTGCGGCGTCGAGACGACTGGACTGACATCCCCTCGGCGCCGTGGCAGCGTGCTCGCACGGACGTCCTTGTTTTCGGTGCGGTTCGATGTGGCTATCGGCTGAGCCTTCGTTCGGTTCACTGGAAAATTCAATGACCACTCATTTTTTTCTTTAATTCGGGCTACAAGTTAAACTTACTCGGACTTTGATAAAAATTTACCAAATTCCTGTCAAATATACAGGGTTATGTCAAGGTTATGTTAACACTTGGAAAGGGGTGATACCTGAGGTGATTTGAAGTAACTTTTTCCTTAGCGAAAATGCAATCCGCGGCTTTGTTTACGAGTTATTAACGAAAAACACTGACCAATGAGAGGCGAGATATGCTGACGCAAAGCGGCCGAGTCAACTAGCGGACAAGCCTATTGGCTCAGCCGCCTCGCGCCAGAATATCTCGCCTCTCATTGGTCACTGTTTTTCGTTGATAACTTGTAAACGAAGCTGCGGATTGCATTTTCGCTAAGGAAAAGATTACTTCAAATGGCTTCAGGAATCACGCCCTTCCGGGTGTTAACATAATTATGGAACACCCTGTATAATTGGACGTTACAAGTTATTTGCAGTTATAATTATTGTCGGATATATTATCCAAGATTATAAGGTGTATATGTATCGTAAAAGGTTCAAGCATCTCTTATTTATTATTATTATCGTGGGCTCATAAAAGACTCGAGGATATCATTAAAGGATGAAGACTACTCTTGACGGAATATATTCGATGAAAGTAATGAGTATGATTGCTGAAGAAATACTTTGCGTACAGATCCTTTGTTTCATTGCTATGCAAAATGATGCTAATTGCTTGTTGCCTATGGACGGTCACGGTTATCCCCTACGAGAACACATAAAGAAAGTCTTGGATTTAAAAAATAAACACTAGAAACGCCTAGGATTTATGTTCATCTTTCTCGGAACTAATGAAACACAGACGTACGACGGCTTGTCACGCCAACGCGTGTTAATTCGAGTTTCAAGGAAACGAAAAGTCTCGCTTTCATTAAAAGATATTTACAGGCAATAAAGAAAGCGTGGCTTCCTCTGTACGTAACATTAAATGCTAAGTATTTTCTACAGTGTTCGCAAGCAATGGCGAGAGAACAGTCGTAAAACACGGCGATTCGAACTATCGAATCCGTGAACTTTCTGCCGCACCTGCGTTTTTCACGAAACAATCGAAAACTAAGGAACAACGGTATTAAATGCACGTGTTCAATAATCGTGAATTCGTTTACCGTCGCACGAGCAACGAATCCTCCGTGAGATTTCTGCAATCAAGTAATTAACCATTTCGCAGCGGGTTGGAGAAGTCTCGCTTGTCTCAGCGTAAAACAAGGGGAGAAAGAGCAGACGAACGAGAGATATAAAATAAACTTCGATGGAATCTATTTGTTCCCGACACCTTTTACCATCGGTGAATCACCAATTTTTTAATCGAACTTTTTTTTTTAATCGACATGTTACCGTGAACACAGAAAAAGAAAATACACACCGTCGGATCCTGTGTTCGTCGTATTTTTAACAGTATTCTCGGCTGTTTTTGTGCCGGCTGCCGCAAGGCCATCGGAAGCGGGACCACGCGAGAAAGAGAGAGGAAGTTCTAATTACCTCGTCGAGTGTTAGGTAAGTTTGGCAGCCCTCTCAACACGAGGAGGTGGACCATTCCAATAATAACAAGCGGAGTGTGAGAGTGGGAACGGGAACGAAAATCTCGGTGACGCTCCAAATCGACAGCACGTCTTCTTGGCCGAATTCCGGCAAAGATAGCGCCCGATCAACACGCGGACTTTACTATTCTCGAAGCTTGTCCCGATCCTTCATCGATATTGTATCCATTCGTCGGTCGAACGTGAGCTGAAATTCGAGGGCAGCAACTATTGCCATTTTTTTCTTCGCGAGTCCGTTAACCCTGCCATGTTTTCGCTCCCGATGATTCATGGCTGTGCAATTGTACGACGAATCGCAGTTAAACCGGTCCATCGAGGTTTCAACTTTTCCGAATCGTTATTCAAAAATATTCGTGCTATAACCATCGGAGCTTTTCTTGTATTTATACAATCCATTGCGTTTCGAAACACATTCGCAGTTTCGATTCAACGCAATTTTCGAAATTTTATCCTAGTTTTGCGGTAAACATGTCGTGTTCGTCTTTCGCTCGTATATCGTTGCATCGTTGCAAAATCGTTTGGCGATCTGCGCAGAATATCTATTTAAAAGGACACTCGTTCCAGGAAATACATTTACAATGTACACGCGTTCGCGATAACCGAATCATGTGCAATGATTTTTCATAATTTGATCATTGGGATCATTGCGAATTGCTTCTGACAGTATTAAATTTCGTGCATCATATTAATGCTTCTTTATCGGAAAACTTTCGCTACATTTTCCAAGATCTTTCCGTCGCTAGATACCTCTCTCGGATCATTAAACATTTTAATGATCGCATTTTCATATTTCGCGCAATATCGACAAGTATAAATCGCACCGACATAATTCCTTGTTTACACTTCGAAGCGATAAATCAAGTACGAACATACGTAGATATAACCTCGATACAATTCCGAAAACTGTGAAATACGCACAATATTTTTTAGCTGCGATGCTACAATTCGCGGTATCGATGGATTCCACAATAAAGGTTAAATTAATATCGCTGTGTAACAAATTTAGTGGAAATAACAGAGCATCTGTATGAGAAGCACGAAGAAAAATATGATTCAACTCAAAATAGAATATAACCAAGAACAAATTAAATTTTCCCAACGAATAGAAAAATTGACCTATCCCCCCAAAAAAACTGTAGCACGAAATATCCAGAAAAATTGCATTTTCCTCCTAATCTCGTACTTTAAACGCAAGCATCGAATTGCAGTTCAACCACAGGAGAAACAATTAATATCACAACAGCTAAAATGGGCGAATCCTGGCACAACAAGTGCACGAAAATGAATCGTTCTAACAATGGAGGCATTAGCCAGTAAAGTCGACTCATTCTTTCGTGTTTGCTCGTTGCGAGCACAACGAATTTTGCACGGTTCGTTTCTACAGAACTGATCACCGTCATCGCGAACATTTATTTCCAGCATGCTCGGATAAAGGAAATCTATTATCTCCTCTGCTTTCTCTCGGTCTCTTTTTTCCCTGATCACGCTGCGTTCTACCGCGGTTAATAGTCGAAGATCGTAGCGGCCGTATTTCAGAAGATACCTAGTTACCCGTCCTCGTAAACCGTCTTCCGAGCATAAAAGGTGTCCCGCGAGAGATTTGTTGGCGCGTTAGCGCGAAGCGTTTCCGGCTTGCGCCGCGCACGCGATTCGACGCGTTTCACGCCTTCGGCCTTGTTACACATTGATAAATCAACCAACTCTCTTCTTTTTCCCTCTCCCCGCTGACTTTTCCTCTTCTCTCGAATTTCGATTCTCACTTTCCGCGAGAAGCAGAGCCTTCGAAGAAGGATTTTCGCCTTAGTTTGACCGCCACATCCGAAATGTGATAGTAATCGGGCAACCCTTCTCCAATGCTCCAATCGGCGAGTCCAACAGCAATAACTTTGATCATTTATACAGAATATGGTTTCAAAGAAGTTAATCGGACTCGAGAAATTGTCGGTATTTAAGCAGTTATAATTTCGTGGAAAGGTATCGTACAACGATAAACCTGGACTAATTTTAAAGCTTTAGGTCTCTACTTTTTACCTCTATAGATCAATACACTTTTGTTTGAGAGATTTTCGCACGATTTAGCAAATGCGAAATCGAAGATACGATTTCTCTGAATTTGAAAAAATTTTCATGGGTTCTTAAAGAATGTTAAAAAAAAGACAATAAATTGCCAGTCGTACAACGCATATTACAAGATGCAAGATGATAAAAATATTTACATCCTCCTCGTACTATGGAATTATCGAGGTCGAATAAATTCTAATCACTGCAACCGCGAAGAAAACGAAAACGAACGAATCGAAGCAATGCTTAGAAACGATAGTAATTACCAATCGTTAATCGTTTAAACAAAAACGGACATTATTGCCAAGCTCTACCGGCAATTAAGCCATTCGACAAGCCTCCTCGATTTTCCTCATCTCCACAAAATTCCGAAACGACGCAACAAATGCTTGAACGCCGCGTCTCTATTAGCCGGGGCATGCCCGGGCAAACCGACTACGATGCGGTATTTACTTAATAATTACCTAAGCGCGGAACGGGTTGATTCAGGTCAGGGACGCGAATGCATTCCGTTAAACGCCGCAGACAACGGTCTCTAGTGTCTCCGGTACTTCAAGTTCTTTGCTATGAAACCGAATCTGCCTGAGTCAGTATGTAGTTCAGGGTTAGAGCTATCCGGCTAGACGAAAGTCAATGTTACGTTGCCGAAAACGCGGAACGACCGGGTCCTCAGGGACGAAAACGTTATTTTCGGCCCCGAGTAAACTCTCGAGGCAACTTTTTTACCGATGCGATAAAACGGTCGCGAAACGGCACCGAAACGGTTCCGAAACGGCTCCGAAACGGCACCGCGTATAATTGTATCGGGGACTTTAGCGTTGCCGAGAATTCGTGGTGTCTCCGCGGCCGAAGATTAAGTGCGACAACGGGCTTACCGTTGATCGACGGGAAGTTTCGCTTTCGGGAGACCGCGGTGTTCGGTGCCCTCCGAAATTATTGAACTGGAATTCACGGATAAAATATGCCCCGGTCGCGTCGACGAATTTAGGACGCGGACGTCTCTTTGAACGAGCGAGAAACGCGAAAACCAGGCTCGCGCGAACCACCGAAGAACCGAACCAGCAGAAAAATTCCGTACAACAAGAACTTCGCGAACAGACTCCGCTTCCACCGATTTAGATTTGTCCCTATCTTAGTTATACGAACCGACACCTACATGAATGTAATAATAGACATAATGGGTAGTGTTTATTTGGCGATACGCCATACCGCCGAAGTCTGCATTCTCGCGGGTGCCCGACGGTGGCCAATATTTACAAGCTGCTGTATACAACTCGTATAATTAATTGACAATGTTTTCTCTTCCAAATTTCCGCGTTTCGCGGCACACACGGATTATTTATCGCGTCTCGAACGCTCGAACCAGGCATTTCCGAAGCTACGATTATCTAAAGTTGATTAACAGTTCTTCCATTTTTATCCTATTAAACTGTACAATTTTTGTCTTTTTCGCAGTGATACAAATGCATTTGTAATTGCTGATTCGACGGAGCAACGTAATTTCCACGAGACTTCGCAATTTTATACCTTTGCTCAACGCAGAACACGTGTTAGATGTATCATGGCGAATTATGTACGCAATTCGTAAGTACAACGAAGCTACACTCGAACCTGTAAATGAGGAGAGAATAATCAATCTACTCATTTACTCATATGTAATTTACTTTAGAATATTTTTTCAAGCCATTTCACTCGAACGAATATTCCGAGACACCGTTAAAAATGATCATATCAAAATGTACATATTACTACATTTTTTCGAACGCGATGGACTGCTTAATATAAAATTTAACCATGGTTTCGCTCTTTGTTCGCAAAATATTCTGGGTCAGTGGAAATTCGGGGTTTCCGAGTTGAAATGACTTCGAGTGCAAAGGGTTAACATACGATTCGCCCTATAGTTTGGTCGAACAGGTAGCAGGTAGGGTCAACTTCTCTCTCCCGACCGTTCCGTTCGTGGTCTATGTATATTTGATATCTGGAGAGGGTTCTGTGTTGCAATCGCAATACTTTCAGAAGCCCACCAGTGGGAACCCCAGGTAGGTTGCCTGAAGGGCTTTAGAGACTAAAACTCCCATTTTGTCTCTTTTTCCACCCTGGAAAGGGGGAAGAGCCTCCGAACTCTCGTAATCTATGTGGAAACCCTTGTAGGATAGCAGTTCAACAGTTCGTTACAAGCGTTACAGTCATTTCGATTTATTACAATTTGGCCGGAACATTGTTATTTAGAAAACAATTTAATGAGGACTAGAAGACTTCGCAAGATAACCAATTTTGTAATTATTATAATTTTGACTGAACATTATTTTTCATGTAGAAATTTTAATGCTACGATGTACTTGCAACGAATGGTTGTAAGAGCATGATGAGCATAAAGTATCGGAGACGCCGTCTCTAAAAAGATTTGACTTTACGGTCGTTAGCAGCATCGACGGTGTTAATTTTTTTCGCGTCGATCGGTTCCAAGATTTTTCGGACGAACGTACGCAGACGGGGTTAAAGCTTCTTGGAATCTTCGATAATAATAACATTTTCCGAGGAAGTAAAGCAGAACCTTCTACGGACAGCGACTAGCAGAACCAGTTCCAAGCAGGTGAAGACCCGAAAAGATAAACACGGAAACAAAGCACAATGAATGCTTCGGAGTAACTGTTCTTAGGATCGCTTCAGCTCCCACCGTCCCCATCCATTTAAATAACTCCCGGCGTTTTATTTCTGATCGTTCGAACGTGAAATTTGATAATCCTTAATGAACTACCGAGAAACGTCGTAAAAGCCTCTTCTACGTACGATTAAATTCGATTATAGGAACCACAACGTGCTTCTCGTGCACGTCGTTCGGATAGTTTCGATAAATAGAAAGGGTGTTAATAATGCGACAGAACATTGAAAATTGCACCGGCTTCCGGCTGCGGGTAGTGTACCCGTGAAAAATGGCATACAGTTGCTTTGCCAGCATTTCAGTTGGCTGCATCGAAGCTCCGAAGATACAACGATACAGCAACCGGTAACCTTAACTAAGAGAACCCGAGTCGCGAACGTGTTGAAGATCTCGTATAGCATTTAGAAGACCTATTCCTCGCTGATTTTGATACATCGATTGCGGAAAATACCGATGCGCGAAAGATCTCATCCAACATTAAATACCTAACGCTAACTTTAGAACGGTTAGGTAAATGTCACAAATCAGTTTCGGTCTATTAAATAAATTGGACGCAAGATAAGCAAATACCCTTTTCGATTTCTGCCTCCTTGATCTTTAAGGAGCTGTGCTTGGTCCGCCATTTTGTCGCAGATTTTCTTCGGTAATAAGTATACCGCGTGAAAAATATTTCCCGGAAGTCTCAAATGAATTGCACATAATATTCTTATTTTTCTTTTTAACCGGTATCGGTGAGAATAATACGATAGGTATGAATTTTATATGTTTTCTACGAAATTATGAACGACAACGAGGCTCTGATTAGCCAAGCAATCGAATAGAGCACAGTGTAAGATTCCGTAGCTTGAAACTCGGCGATTCGACGCCAGAATTATTTCTGCGTCGACCTAATCGATTGTGCAGTGAATTAGAAGATTCAGTTACCTTGATTGAAGTCTACCTGCCCAAAGGAGGCGCTTCTAAAGGGTGCGCCAGCTCTGTGGAAGGTGAGAAGAGGTCCTCTCGGTTCTAGCCTGGTGACGGCGTCCCTGGCCTCGCCTTCGTTAACGGCCGAGGCAGCGTTCAGGTTGTCGCACAAATCGTCCACACACGTAGCACTGTCCACCACCGAATCACTGTACTGTCTCAAATGTTTCGCCGCGTTCGCACTGGCGTTCAGCTCGTTTTTTATGTCACTTACATCACCACTGCTCCTGTCGTGTTGCCTGCCCGATCGCAAGGATCTCCTCGAATCCGGGCAGGTCTTCCTGCACGTATCCCTACCCGACTCACTCAAACACTCGTCACCGACACTGTCACTTCGGCCGATCGTCTTCAGGTGATGTTGCTGCGAATGCTGGTTGTTCGACCCGTGGCCGCTTCCCTCGCTGTACGTGTAGCTTCGACAAGATAGGCGGCCATCGCACCGACCACATCCTTGACTGATTGCCTGCGCAACAATTTCATTTCTCGTACACATTTGCCAGAGATTGTTCAGTGCTTTGATGTACAAGCTGGAATTAATCGTTGGGCACAAGCTACCTAAATTCAATAGGCATTAGATATCCGAATCGAATGGATACTTTAGGTGCACCTAAACTAATTAGGTGTAAATATAATTGACTACCTTTTTGTAAGGTTTTCTTACGGTATAAGAGTCAAATATCCCTTTGATATAATAATGGTGATGGAGTTTAGAAAGTCACTTTTCATCGTGGTAAATCAATTTTACTAAGATTTATAGCATACCACAGGGTAAAACAAAAACTAATGAATTTAACTTGAGTTTCGTGCTTTGGATTGATTTGTTGGATTACCGTGAGCCGTGGAATTTTGTGGATCGTGATACAGTTGATGTGTTAATCATGTTATTTTATCGTGGTTATTCGAATCTCGTTACAAGATTTGCAATTAATTCAGCGAACAGTATGTTCACGTACACGTATTACACATATTTTTAAGTAGGTGTCAAGACGTCCGATAAAGTGGCTCGTAAAGAGGCCATGGATTTTATCAATCTTTGTACTACATGCATAGATACTGCGCTCTTTTGATACAAGGTGTAAATCATCACCCTATTTTAAATATACGCATGTTAGACTCAAGGAGACACGTTAAATGGATAACAAATTTGCATTTGTTTCTAGAGAAACAGATCATTCAAGTTTATTACGATGAATTGTTAAACTTAGTTTTGGTAGCATTGTTCTAAAATATAGACACGAAAGTTTCCAGGCTTCCATATCGAATATGGCAGAGCAATTAAGGATAGATCGACTCTGAATTAGGGTGTATAGTTCTTACTTGCGGATAATTTTGCGGGGTTGGCAAATAACCAGTGGGTGGTGGAGAGGACGCCTGTACCCTCGAAGGTCGTCTCGGCGGTGGCACCGGTGCTGGGCCCTTCAGTTTTTCGGTGAGCTCTCGAAGGCGTTCGGCCTTGTCGCTCCGGGGGGCGGAAGAGGACTTCTTGCCGCTTCCTCCTCCGCCCCCGCTCCATCGGAACCTGTGCAATCGGTCCACCGCTATCACTGCTGGTTCCTAAAGAAAAACGATTCGATCTCTTTGATTGACCCTCCACCAGAAAACTGCGCGTCGTTTTACAGGGACCCCGATTACAGTTCGATCGCGACGAATTAAATCCACCGATTTCCAGAATTTCGGCGAACCCCGGGCAGATTTTAAGATCGTGTACTCGTCGTAGCCAGACCGATTTTTGAATCGACTGCGGCGCGCAACGTGCGCTGCCTCGTGCCTGCCGCAAGGGAAAAGACAGATGACGACCGAAATAGAATATCGCTCTTCGACTAGACACCTACGTATCGTACGTACGCGAGTTTCCGATTCTCTAGTCCACTTTTTCACGATCAAGCTTTTTCTCCCGGCCGCCGAAATTCCTCGGACACAAATACGCGGGCCACTAAATTCAACGGTTCTAGCGACTTTATAATAACGTAAATCATATTCGTAAAGACACCACGGTGAGTTACGAAGACGAGATTTATGCCTCGGAGCGTGTCGGGACACTGCGTTCTCGTCGTCTGAAAATCTGGCACGACGCGTACCGGAGAATAAACGAGCATTCAAGAAATTGATACGCGCCGTGAGGTATCGACGGGAAGAAGCGTCCGGCCCTCTCACCGAATGTTCTCGGAACGTGTCTTAACCGAGCCCGTGCCCGCAGCCATTAAAAGCGCTACAACGTCCACACCAGCACGGTGTAACCCACCTCTCAAGTTTTGACACAAAGCGTCCCAGGTCGAAGACACACCGTCCCAAATTCCTACCATCCGACTCACTCTTACGAAATCACAACAGTTTTTCCACGGGCTCCGCGAGCGGTTCCTCCATCGTCGGCTCACCAAAAATATCCTCCATCGAGAATGAACACGATCGCGCGGTCGTCCGCGAGGCCGATCGCAGAACTCCCGGCCGAATTCGAGGATCGACGACGATCGTAACGAGGAAAGAGGTCAGAGAGGTCGGATCGGAAGTGGAACTGGAACCGATCGGACACCTGGATAACCGGCGGCGAGGGCTCGTGGAGGTTCTCGTGGGTATACCTGGAGCTTCAGGGTCTGATGCTTGGTCCACTGCGCGAGCTGCCTTGGCACCGAGACGGACTGCAGCGTCGGGACGGCGGTCGACGCGCTGAACGACGTCGAGGAGGATGACGACGAGGACGACGGTACCGCTGCCGTTACAGTTGCGGACGATTGTGGTGGATGGTGCTGGCCAGTGCTGTTCCCCACCGACGTTTGCAGCATCCCTTGGTTATTATTAGAGTTCACCAACGGTTGCGCCGACATCGTTGGCGTCGTCAGCGTCGCCGGCTGTTCCATGCCGGCAGCACGGCTGCTCGAAGACGTGGGAGGCCCAGGAAACGGAGTCTGTCCACCACTTACTCCTCCACCGCCACCTCCAGCTCCACCTACACCTACACTTCCTCCTCCGACGGCACCACACGTCGACGACGAGTACGACGACGCCGTCGTCGGCGGTGTCGACGTCGACGTTGACGTCGGGATCCTCGGCAACGGCAGACGGGAGCGCGGCCCGATGCAGCAGCAGTCGGCGATGCTCGAGCTCAGGTCCACCACCGGATTCTCCAGCGACTTCTCCGTCAAACGCTCCCGCAAGTCGTTCTCCCGCGAGTTCCGCTTCTGTCGCCTCTCCTGAGACTCCTCCCTCGAGCTTGATGGCGGCAGGCTTTCCTGCAACCAAACAGTCTGTCGGTTCCACGTGCAAACAATCCGTTCCGATGTACGGATCCTCTCGCTGCTCTCCCGGGCCTAGTTAAGCTACCCCAATTTGCACCTTGCATCTTGCAGACCAAAGCTGCGCGACTCGCAAAAAGCTATTTCCGAGGTGGCACTATTTCTATCTACGTTGCTCTATCGAATTCATTTTACCGTGTTCCGTATTTCCCCTGCGAACCCGTCTTATTTATTAATTATCCTCCGACACATATCCTTGATGATACACGAACCTATAGGAACGTGTATTTTAAGCAACGTTCTCCTGGTTCGTTTAAGAAAGTTCATCGGTGAATTTCGTTTGTTCAACCAGCTTCGCTAATTCGTGCTTTCGTCGTTGCACACCGCACCCTTGGGATTTAAGTTACACAACTCGAGAAACGCAATATCCGAAGTAGCATTGCGAACAAGTCGAGAAGACGCTCCCCGAACAATTATGGAGGACTCATTCATTTATCTTCTGTCGCTCTAGCTAATTCATTTTCCACTGTTCTGTATCCTACGAATACGTCTTATTATTAGTTGCGTCCTCTCATTGCGAATAAGCGTATAGGTACAGTGGTACGCGTATTATGATTAATATTCTTCTAGCCCGTTTCGTGAAACTTCCTGGTAGCGTCTACTTAGAATTCTACGTTACGCTAGAAAAGTTCGATCGGAAAGTTCAAAGCTGCAGAAATTAGACGAATTATATAATATGTAATCAATTAATACCTGCACGTGGAGTAAGACGTTGCTCTGTCGATTCTCTGCTTTCCGATTACGATTTATAGAATGAATCTGCTGTTAACATACGAGAACTCGAAAACGGACTCCCAATAACTGCTGAATCTTGAAATTGTCAAATTGCGATTTCTCTGATCAGCAAGAAATTAGCTGGACAAGTGTATACATGGTATTGGAATTTCGTGGAAGAATGCAGCATCGTGTTACGTTACTCGTTTCTATTCGAAGAATTGTTAAAATTCTTGAAATTGTTCCATTGATATGTCTCGATCGAATCCCATGTACAGTAATGTCTCTCTAATTGACGCTCAGATTGTCCACAAAAATGGAAGAGGAGATACGATTAATTTGAGTCTTGCAGGTCGTTTTTATATTTCTTGACGATTCGTAACTACGAAAACGAACCCCAAGGCTCGAATAATCGCATCAACGGGAACATACGACTCGCGAAGCAAGCTAACTAAAAGCTTCGAAGTACAGTAATGTCTCCCTAATTGAGCTCAGATTGTCCACAAAAATGGACAATTTGGGAAGAGGAGATACGATTAATTCGAGTCTTACAGCTCGTTTTTATATTTCTTGACAATTCGTAACTACGAAAACGAACCCCAAGGCTCGAATAATCGCATCAACGGGAACATACGACTCGCGAAGCAAGCTAACTAAAAGCTTCGAAGTACAGTAATGTCTCCCTAATTGAGCTCAGATTGTCCACAAAAATGGACAATTTGGGAAGAGGAGATACGATTAATTCGAGTCTTACAGCTCGTTTTTATATTTCTTGACGATTCGTAACTACGAAAACGAACCCCAAGGCTCGAATAATCGCATCAACGGGAACATACGACTCGCGAAGCAAGCTAACTAAGAGCTTCGAAGTACAGTAATATCTCCCTAATTGAGCTGAGATTGTCCACAAAAATGGACAATTTGGGAAGAGGAGATACGATTAATTCGAGTCTTACAGCTCGTTTTTATATTTCTTGACAATTCGTAACTACGAAAACGAACCCCAAGGCTCGAATAATCGCATCAACGGGAACATGCGACTCGCGAAGCAAGCTAACTAAGAGCTTCGAAGTACAGTAATATCTCCCTAATTGAGCTGAGATTGTCCACAAAAATGGACGATTTGGGAAGAGGAGATACGATTAATTCGAGTCTTGCAGGTCGTTTTTATATTTCTTGACGATTCGTAACTACGAAAACGAACCCCAAGGCTCGAATAATCGCGTCAACGGGGACATACGACTCGCGAAGCAAGCTAACTAATAGCTTCGAAGTACAGTAATATCTCCCTAATTGAGCTGAGATTGTCCACGAAAATGGACGATTTGGGAAGAAGAGATACGATTAATTCGAGTCTTGCGGTTCGTTTTATAATTGTTGACAATCGGTAACTATAAAAACAAGTTGCAAGGCTCGAATAATGGTATCTCCTCTTCCCAAATTGTCCATTTTTGTGGACAATCTGAGCGTCAATTAGAGAGACATTACTGTACCTGTCTCTTATACACATCTAGATGTGTATAAGAGACAGCTCCCTAATTGAGCTCAGATTGTCCACAATAATGGACAATTTGGGAAGAGGAGATACGATTAATTCGAGTCTTGCGGCTCGTTTTATAATTGTTGACAATCGGTAACTATAAAAACAAGTTGCAAGGCTCGAATAATGGTATCTCCTCTTCCCAAATTGTCCATTATTGTGGACAATCTGAGCGTCAATTAGAGAGACATTACTGTATTCCGTAAAGACAGAGCGAACGCTGTCTCTTATACACATCTATTCGAGTCTTGCGGCTCGTTTTATAATTGTTGACAATCGGTAACTATAAAAACAAGTTGCAAGGCTCGAATAATGGTATCTCCTCTTCCCAAATTGTCCATTATTGTGGACAATCTGAGCGTCAATTAGAGAGACATTACTGTATTCCGTAAAGACAGAGCGAACGCTGTCTCTTATACACATCTATTCGAGTCTTGCGGCTCGTTTTATAATTGTTGACAATCGGTAACTATAAAAACAAGTTGCAAGGCTCGAATAATGGTATCTCCTCTTCCCAAATTGTCCATTATTGTGGACAATCTGAGCGTCAATTAGAGAGACATTACTGTATTCCGTAAAGACAGAGCGAACGCTGTCTCTTATACACATCTATTCGAGTCTTGCGGCTCGTTTTATAATTGTTGACAATCGGTAACTATAAAAACAAGTTGCAAGGCTCGAATAATGGTATCTCCTCTTCCCAAATTGTCCATTATTGTGGACAATCTGAGCGTCAATTAGAGAGACATTACTGTATTCCGTAAAGACAGAGCGAACGCTGTCTCTTATACACATCTATTCGAGTCTTGCGGCTCGTTTTATAATTGTTGACAATCGGTAACTATAAAAACAAGTTGCAAGGCTCGAATAATGGTATCTCCTCTTCCCAAATTGTCCATTATTGTGGACAATCTGAGCGTCAATTAGAGAGACATTACTGTATTCCGTAAAGACAGAGCGAACGCTGTCTCTTATACACATCTATTCGAGTCTTGCGGCTCGTTTTATAATTGTTGACAATCGGTAACTATAAAAACAAGTTGCAAGGCTCGAATAATGGTATCTCCTCTTCCCAAATTGTCCATTATTGTGGACAATCTGAGCGTCAATTAGAGAGACATTACTGTATTCCGTAAAGACAGAGCGAACGCTGTCTCTTATACACATCTATTCGAGTCTTGCGGCTCGTTTTATAATTGTTGACAATCGGTAACTATAAAAACAAGTTGCAAGGCTCGAATAATGGTATCTCCTCTTCCCAAATTGTCCATTATTGTGGACAATCTGAGCGTCAATTAGAGAGACATTACTGTATTCCGTAAAGACAGAGCGAACGTGCACAGTTTCTCTAAGGGAGTTTTAGTAAGACGAGCAAGAAAGATCTACTTGTCCAGCGATGATGCCCCCGTTCGATCATACAAAGTACTTTACCCCTAATTTACGGGTTACAGCGAGGTAAACGAGGACAATTTATGTGTGCAGATCAGTTTAAACTTTTACTTCCTCGTTCGATACCCCACGAAAGAAGCGGAACAAACGAGACCGTAAAGCCTATGAACTGGCTTCGCGTAGAAAGAGAATCGAAGACTGCTTTTTGCGGCAGCGCATAAAACGAAACGTAGGAAGTAGAACTCGCTTCTACGAGCGTAATTTCACCTTGCCCCCGTTTCGTATCGAAAGAAACTTCCCAATTCGGCTCGTTACCGAACTTCGGCATCGATTGCACCAGTTTTTCGAACGAATTTCAGGTAACTTTGGATTTCATGCGATTTAGATGAAACATCCGAAAGTCTGTATCACATGGATATTTTTCGACGGTGACTTTTCCTGAAAAGGATCCGCGATATGGTCCGTTTGAAATCTGCCGGGAGATGTCAGAAACGTTCGCGTAAATCATTGTTCAAGTTCGTACGAACGACTAAAGCCGTCCGTGTGTAGTGGAACGATTGTGGTAAAGAGGATCCGAGAGGAGACAATGGCGTTGAGGTAAGGTGACGCTGTTTCTTCCCACGAACGAGCTGAAGATAAACTCCTCTGAAATAGATCTCCGACTCTTATGTATGCAACACGGTGTACGGAGGATATGCTGGAAAGTAGAACCATCTAATCTCCTTTCTCGAAATCCCCCGGGAGATAACGAGATACCTCCTGAAATGTTTGTTTCGATCTTCGTTCTGACACCGCATTTTACGTTCCGCGGCCGAGGAACACGATACTACGCAGAAATGCATAAAATAGGAAGATAACAAAATGCCGGTGCCCCGTATCGCAATATTTTCGCGGGAAATCTATATTTACGTTGCCCGAAGAACTTAAAGGATTGACTACTTAACGCCGCTGAGGTCATCGATAACGCACTGCGTTTAAACGATAATCTGCATACGAATCGCGCGGCTCTTTAATATTTTTCGACGCGCGGTCTTGCTCTAGCGCAATATTTATGCACTTCTATTAGAATTCAAGGTAACAAGTGTGCTTGTACGGAATGCACCGAAGGCAGGAGGATCCGAATAAAACTGGTACGACTGTAGCACACACACACACAGATATTATATTTAGAATATAGAGGAAACCTTCCAAATGCGTACCGGTCACCTAAATCGTGCCCCCTCGATTAATTCGTTATCATTTATTTATAAAATTCCGCGCAATCGATGTTTTCCTAACAACTTGCTGTTTCGCGGCCCTTAAACTTCGACTAAAAAATAATCATATACATTTTTATCATTTTTAGAAATGCTTCGATTATATTTTCTTGTCTCATGATCGAATCTCTTCTCTCAGGTACATCGAGGATAGTTACTGTTTCGTATGCGTCCGGATATTTCGGTTGATTGAATAACATTTCTCAAGTTATTATTCACAAATTTCACCCGCGTTTTGCTTTTACTCTTTAATCTTCGGGTGACGGCGGTGTCTATGTAGACCCAGAAATACAGACAAACGATCGAAAATTTAATTTTCCACTATCCAGCTCGAATCGCGAGCTATTTCTACCAAGTCCAATAAGTCGGATCCATATCTCGAAGAAGTGGATTTCGAAATCTGTAAAAAATAGACGATGCTCGAGGATTCGAACGGACCTAACCCACGGCTGCCATGAAAACGGCCGATAGCATCGTTTCCCGAAAAGTCAAAGTAACCCGACACCCAGGGGACACCCTGGAATATGTATAATGTGAAACGGCGAAGGAATGCAAAGGGTTGAAATTGAAAGGCATTCCAGGAGTGGCTATAATCGGCTCGCGATCGCCGGACTTGATCGGCACCCGATCAACCGGCGTATTCGCGGTGATTTGTCGCGATCGAAAGACTTGGCAGAGGTTCACGGGTTCGCCCGTGTGTGGAGCGAGAGGCTCGGGTGCCCGCTACGTGTGCGTATGATGTCAACGTGGATATTATTCCGGTTGGGCGAGGACGGCCAGCCAGAAAAATAGGAAGAGGAAGAAAGAAGGAAAACGGGAGATGGCTCAAAATCGGACCGAGTCACTGACTGGTGGTATTCTATTTGCGCGATCGGCTCTATATTTAGGCTTCCCGACGTCTTCATTTTGCTCATACAAAACTTCGCTGTCGCGGATCCGTCGAAGGTCGTCACGACAGCCAACAGGACTTCGGTTTCTTAGCCGAGTGGACGTCGGCTTTTCAATATGGTCAGATTTTACTTGCGTTCGAGTTACACGTCTGTTCGCCTAGAACGCAATTCTCTCAACTTCGATTTCTGTGCGATGCGTTTTTATACTCGCGCGAATCTAGTCCATATAACAACAGCCAGCAGACTGTTTATAATAAAGCACTGTATGGTTCAGATTATATCAGTGCTTATCATTTTCTTTATTTGCGTCAAGCTTGCCTAACTCTCGAAGGAAATTCATTCGTCGCTAAACTGCGGATTTTTGGGCAAAATAAAAATTGTCAGCGTCGATCGTACCAAACAAGGGACGAGCAAGTTAAATAAAAATGTACTTCTTTCTTGAATAGTCTCGATAAATTGAAAATAGCGTAACGCGATTATTACATTCTTCCGACACACTGTTCTGCATTCCACTTGCCCATTTAATGGAAGCTAAAGATCAGTAATTCCTGAATTACAGAAAGACGGAGTACGCTGATACCGTTGTCCACTGTAAGGGTTAATAAATTTCCGACTACACACTCTGCGTCCCTAATTTCTCGAGGGAGATGAAACTGCCTGAACACTTGTGGACAGTAGTATATACGAGCTCGTAAACAGCCAGATTTTGGTACTAAATTACAGGAGAGAGATAAAGTTCTTACCTGAGAAAGTCGGAGACCGTATCTGGTGCCCCCCAAAACGACGTATCCGCCACCAACAGTAGCCCCAGTCATGGCTCTCGCTGCACCCCCGAGCCATCCTCCGAATCCGCTCCCCCCTGCCTTCTCCGACCCGCCACCCCCGTCTCCACCGACGCGGGGCATTCTTCATCCTCCCTTCACCCTGCGCACAAACACCATCAGCCGATTAATTGCAAAATACACCGTCAAACAGTACCATAAATCCGCGGCGACGATCATTCACGCAAAAACAATCGTTCCCGTTAGACTGCGGAATAAAAAAAATTGTCTTCTCGAATAGTCTCTGCGAAAGGATGTACCGTGCCGTCCAAAGAGGCTAATAAAATTCAAGTGTTCCACCGCTGAGAAACGGTGGGCGTCTTTCCTTTAATAGGAAATTGCTTTCCGCAATAATTTCGCTACAGTATATCATATTACGGTGCTTTTCCGTCTGCGTTTTATAGAATTACGACGAGCCTCACGGCGCAAGATAAATCGAAATTGTATTTAGAGTAAATACGCGGTCGAGGCAAACGGGCTCGATTTGTTAGCAGAGACAAATATAAATTACGCCGGAACGTTTAAGTATAAATAACCGATGGATATATTTTTTTGTTGTTGTCATCCGTTGATATAAAGAACGCGAAGGGTGATTTGTTAGTGTCCTGTTCTCTCGCTCGTTAACGCAACTTCGACGTATGTACCACGAGACCCCGCGTCTCTTTGGATTCGTTAGCTCACCTGCTGTGCCACGTTCACGTTGTCCCGGTGTAACTTTCAGATTTCAATTCAACGCTTTCGCAACACTAACGTTCGTTTAAGTTGTTCGAATCTGACAGATTCTTGAAATTATACATCCCACGGGAACCATTGTTTTCCGACCAATCGAAATACATATTTCATAATTAGATGGCACTTGCATTCATTTGTTCGGAATAATTAGGGCACGAAGCGGCTTGAATTATTTAGAAATGTTCAGTGACAAACCGCAGCTTAAGTTTCTTACACTTTCGACTCGTGATGTACAGAATAATAGAAATTAACGGAACCGAATGAAATGCAATTGCAAATATTTTTGACGCACTGCACGGCGATCGTTTCTATCGCTGTAAATTATTAAGAGAATCGAGAAACTTCAACAACTGAATTCAGATTCCGTTACAACTTAAGATTCACTTCGGTCACAAATCAACTATCACAATTGCCTCGCTGCTTATGGACTGCGTCGGTCCATAAAATGGCGGTAAAGCATTCAGTAACGGCGCGACGTATATCCGCAATAAGTTTCCGATGAACTTTAATGGAACTCGCTCAGAAATTCCCGGGAATTTCATTCAGTGGCGTCGGCGCACCGTAAAAATAAATAAAATCGTTCTCAACAGTTATCAGAGAATGCGCAAACGTTTGCAGGTAACCGGGGGAATTGAGCAATCGTTATGCGTGCGTAAGTGCGTGCGACTTCGCATATCGAGTCGGCACGATTGGATTTGTTCATATTATTTTATTTTCGCGATTTCGCTGTTCGGTCGCGGACAAAGAATTCTGGAAAAATATTTATATTCTACGAGTAAAAGCGAATATGCAAAAATTTAACGAGAAACTCTTTAACGCTATTATCGCATTAGTATTATCTGCGATGTATGTATCTTCGACTCGCCGGATGCTTGAAAATTAATATTTGAAAATTATATGATCGTATAATTGAAATGAAAATGATGCGATTTAAATGATTTTTGAATTCGAACGATAACTGTTCTTCGAGCAGAGAATGATTATGAAGTTTAGGTATGTAGATCGGCCTTCGTAGGTACATATACGTTACAAGTTAATCGGAAATCGACGTCATCAAACCGTTACATCCGACTCAGGTGTCACTGACTGAATGCGAACAAGAAAGGAAGGCACTTAACATTAAATAAAACAAGGAGGAAGCGAGCACGTTGCAATGCAATTTACTTCGTTTCGTGAAAGGAACGAGAAAACACATTAAATATGGATTAGAGAAATAAACGGTGCCCGTATAAACTGGTTCCAAAAGAAATCAATATTATAAATAATACTTTCTACGTGTGTGTGTGTGTGTGTGTGTTCAAATAATTTATGTTTCCTGCAAATATTCGCGTCCGCGATCGATTTTATCGTCGTGAAATATTTTTAATTATTTTACTGTGCAAACGGATGAAAAATCGTTTCGCATTTGGTAGTCGGTTCGGAATCAATGCGGCATAATAGAAATGCCTGGTATATCATAACTTCGTGGAAACCTGCGAAAACCAAAAATCTACCATCCATCGAAATATCATCGGGATAGCGGCTTTATAGATGCAAATATTGAGAGGATATAAATATCGCTGTATGTCTTTTCTATTTCTAAGTACCGAAGGTTAACTATATCGGAAGTTGAAGTGGTTCTCGCGCGTCTTCGCAGCGATGGGGCATTATCGCGAACAGCTTATCGTAAATTTTGGAATACATGGCAATAAAGATTGCGAACCTTCCGTCAATAAACAATCAGCTTGGCCGTAAAAGCTAACGGAACAATATTTCACTTGAGATGTAGATCACTGTCTTCCACGCTATCGAAAAATATGTAGGAGATCATGGGAATACGTCTGACAACTGAAAATCCACGATTTAAGCTGAAACCTCGACTGAAACCCAAACTTTGAAACGGACTGTTTTTACAATAATGTGCGGTCGAACAGTGAACTTAATTTGAAATTATAGTGAAACTCGTAAACAGTCGTAGGGATAGCAGGTGAAATTTGAGGTAGCTATTGGGTTGGCAACTAAGTAATTGTCGATTTCAGTTATAGATGTCTCTCACTTCCATTTTTATGATATCCGTAAATGTTATATTATAAAATTATTATTATTATTATTATGTTATTTTTTATTATCCGCGAATGTTAGCAACTGGACAAATTGAATGCAGCGGTCAAGGAAAAGCGACCAGAATTGGTCAATCGTAAAGGTGTCATTTTCCAGCAGGACAATGCTAGGCCGCACACGTCTTTGTCCACTCGGCAAAAATTGATGGATATTGATTGGGAATTGATGTTACACCCACCATATAGCCCTGATCTCGCGCCATTGGATTACCACTTATTTCGATCCTTGGACAACTCCCTTCGTGGTAAAACTTTTAACGATGATGACGCTGTAAAATCTCATTTAACTCAGTTTTTGGCCGAAAAGGATCAGACTTTCTGCGAGCGTGGGATTTTCAAGTTGTCAGAGAGATGGCAAAAGGTCATCGAACAAAATGGAAGATACATTACAGATT